TGTCCTGCCGAACATAACGCAGACTGGATCCATTCATTCTTTGATCTTCTGGTCTTAAATAGCCTATTTGCTCGGGCCTCGAAAAGTAGGGGGGCCTCCAGCATCACGTGACAGACCTTTGTGAGACGGGAGCCCAGGCTAACCCAGCTCTCTGGTCCCCTAGAAAATCGGCTGCGACGGCATCATCGGGTCGGCGGCCAAAGAGGACCGGTGCGGGGTGTGCAGCGGGGACGGCAAGACCTGCCGCGTGGTCAAGGGCGACTTCAGCCACTCCCGGGGGACAGGTGAGCGCGGGCGCAAGCCTGTGTTTTACGGACGTCTTACTTCCCTGGCCCCCAAGCCGGCGATCGCGTGCCCTCCCTGCGTTTCGTATGGAAGGGCTGGTGGGTCATCGAGAGGGTGACCTGGGACTCCGTGTCACAGCTTCTGCAAGGCAGGGAAAGGCGTCTTATCCACAGTGACGCCGGCGTCCAGTCTGTCAGGCAGGCGGCTTGTGTGCGAATCCGTGCTGCCCCCCGGCTCCTGAGGGGACTGAGGGAAGCCGGGCGGCTCCGTCCAGTCTCGGAGCCACTGGCCACTGAGCCGCTTCAGATGTTTTTGTTGTTGTGAATCCTCGGGACCCAAGGATATTTTTTCCATTGATTTTTTTTTTTCAAAAATATGTTTTTATTGATTTCAGAGAGAGGAAAGGAGAGGGAGAGGGAGAGAAACATCAGTGAGGACAGAGAATCATGGATCGGCTGCCTCCTGCACGCCCCCTACTGGGGATTGAGCCCGCAGCCCTGACTGGAAATCGAACCGTGACCTCCTGGTTCATAGGTGGATGCTCCACCACTGAGCCACGGTCGCCCATGAGCCTTTCATCCAGTGCGCATTGATTCAGCATGACGACGATGTTAGAGGCAGGAGGTGTGCAGAAGGAAAATGCAGCTGTCACCGAGTCCAGGGAGGAGACCCCAGCAACAGCCTGAATGCATGTATGAGGGGTGCTGCAGGGCGCCTCTCTCAGGGCTGCGGGCAGATGAGGGCACCCCTACGCCCTAAAGAACAAGTAGAGGTGGTCCAGGCAGCGTGCCTCAGTGGTTGAGCGTCGACCTATGAACCAGGAGGTCACGGTTCGATTCCCAGTCAAGGCACATGCCCAGGTTGCAGGCTTAATCCCCAGAAGGGGGCGTGCAGGAGGCAGCCGATCCATGATTCTCTCTCATCATTGATGCTTTTGTCTCTCTCTCCCTCTCCTTTCCTCTCTGAAATCAATTTAAAAAAAATTTTTTTTAAAAAATGGTCAATTAGAGATCAACTGTCAGTGGGGGTGGGGCAGGGCATTTCAGGTTGAAGGAGGAACCCAACTTCGAAATAGTATGATTCCCCCAGGTCATGTGACATCTCCGTGGCGCCAAGTGTGGCTGACGGGCCGGCCGATTCTGTCAGCTCAGACAGGGAGGCACCTTTCATCTCTGCCCAGCGCCCAGGAGGAATGTTATCACCCTCGAGAGTGACTATCACAGAGAAATACCATCCCGGAGATGAAAAGCAGTCGGGCGCAGGCTTTCTGCCCGGTTCTGAGAAATCCTGACCCTTGTCTGACCTCCTCTGGGTCCACTTACCTTCCATACTGAAGCTGGGAATTCTGAGCAGCCCCCCACGGGGACAGCGCCCATGTCGTCCGGGACGCCCTCCTCCCGTGTCCTGCAGGGCTGCGTGGAGGTAGTGTGACCCTCTGGCCTGTCGCCTCCCAGCCTTGAACCGATCCAGGCCCCGGCAGCTCATCTGTGAAGGAATCGGCTCGAATTGGCCATCACACTGCTGTCCTCAGGGGTGGGCTCCGCCTTCGGTGGAATTGACACAGCGAAGTGGTTTGAGTGGGGGTTTGAAAGCTCTCCGTACGAGGCTTTCACATCATTCATTAAACCGCCATTTTCACGTTATGGCCTTTAGTCCATGCAGGCCTTAGCACCAGCCACTGGTGTCCACGGGAACCACCCTCCCCTCCCCCCCCGCCATGGTGACCCATGAGCTCTGCACCCCTTTGCGTTTTGTTCTGAAAGAGAAACCTTCTTAAACAGTCTATTCTGTTTTTAAAAATATAACAAAGACCTCATCTGAACTAATTGCATCTTCAGTGACGCGAATCCAAATCAGGTCGAGTTCTGAGTCCCGGGGGTTAGGACTTTAACCAATGAATTGGGGGGTGGGGAGCGGGATATAGTTCAACCCATCACTCGTGCAAGTAAGTAAGTGCTGCTCTGGAATTCGGCAGCCCAGGGGCTCTGGCCATAGCAGAACGCTCTGTGATTGACACTTGCCATAGCTGTACCTCCCACCAGCTCTGAAATCTCTACGGGGGAGGGGGGAGAGGGGACTTTGGTGGGAGATGGGGCAGGCGTGGTTCACGCATGTTATCCGTCACCACAGGCTATATCGAAGCCGCTGTCATTCCCGCCGGAGCTCGGAGGATCCGCGTGGTGGAGGACAAACCCGCCCACAGTTTCCTAGGTAACGCCAAAACAATGATCTGACTCGCCATGTCTGTTCTGAGGATGGAGGCGGAGGACGGGGCGGGCCGGTCATCGGGTCAGCAGCATTCTCCCAGGACATTGGTGTCAAACTCATATCTTAGGTGTCGTGATAGAAGGACTCATGGTTCTGGCTGCCGGGACTTCCCAGCGCCATCGCTCAGCTGACCCCAGTCCCGGGTAGCGAGCAACATGGGGGACATTATCTCTGCTTTTCCCTGGAAATGTGAAAAGGGCAGCAGGCTGTCAGGGTCCATTAGATCGCTCAGCTTCTAATTCCCACATGAAATGGACTTTCAAAAATATATACTTTTATTGATGTCAGAGAGGAAGGGAGAGAGACATTAGTGATGACAGAGAATCATGGATCGGCTGCCTCCTGCACACCCCACACGGGATTGAGCCCACACCCCGGGCATGTGCCCAGACCGGGAATCAAACCGTGACCTCCTGGTTCATAGATCGATGCTCAACCACTGAACCACGCCAGCCTGGCCTGCTTTGGTCCCCTTATCTCCTCTGCCAACCAGAACCCCAGGATTCCAGAGCCTGGGGTATGCACTAGGGCCAGCCCGGAGATGGTCCACGCTCGTGACGTTTCTAAAGTTTAGTGCAAACCAGCCATGTTGGCACCGGGGCCGGGCACTCTGGAAGTCAAGCCGGTGGAGCCCTGAGCTCCCCTCGCATTTGCTGGGAGCGATTCCCGAGGAATTCCACCCCACCTACCTCCAGCCCACGCCGCCTGGCTCGCGGCTCGAAACCACCTGGAACAGGAAATGCCTCTGCAGTTCGCGTCCACGGCTCAGAACAGCCCTGGCGGGCCTCCGGGTGGAAATAAAAGGCGCTGACGCGGCGCCAGGATTAGAAGTGGGTTGACTGCGGGTCAAGCCTTCCAGTGCAACCCAGGAGGGGAGAGACGCGAGGAGCCCGCTCCTGCACAGCCCCACGGGTGGGGGGGTGTGGCCTGGGGACGGGGTCCGACCCCCACATGGGCCTGCAGCCAGCGCTAAGGAGGAGCCCTGCCCTCCCGGCCAGGGAGGCCCCCTCCACACTGCGTGGCTCAAGGTCTTTCCCTCCATGCCCGGCGTCCACGGACAGCATGTAAATATCTGCACAGAGAAAGGAGGGCCCGGTTGGGAAACAGACATGCATCACGTGACCTCAGGTTCTCGGCCCTGGAGGAGGTTTTGTCTGCCCTGCCAGGGGGGTGTGGAGAGCAGGGACCCACCCTCCCTTCTGTGGGAAGTTCCTCTCATCCTTAAGAGGCTCCTGATGGCTCCTCAGCAAAATACACAAAGGCCCTGCTGTGTCTCAGACGGCGATTTAAAATGTCCGACCTGCCCCGGCTGGTGTGCTCAGTGGATAGAGCGTAGGCCTGGGGACAGAAGGGTCCCAGATTCTATTCCGGTCAGGGCACAGGCCCGGGTTACAGGCTCAATCCCCAGTAAGGGGCGTGCAGGAGGCAGCCAATCCATGATTCTCATCATTGATGTTTCAGTCTCTCCCTCTTCCTTCCTCTCTGAAATCAATAAAAACATCTTTAAAAAAATAAAACGTCTGACCTCTGACCCCAGCAAAGTCTGAAAATGAAATTGTTCTTCCCAGCTAATCAGAGCCCAGACATCCACCACAGACAGAACCAGGTCCCTCCAGGATTCCCTGTGTTCTTTTTTTTTTTCTTTCAATGTTTTTATTGATTTTTTTCGTTTTTGAGTTTTTCGGGGGGTCTATACCCAGGAGAGGGAAGGCTGGGTTGTTGGGTTGCTCTGTACGGGTGTTCTGCGTGGCCTCCGCTCCATGCTGTCCGTTCTCTTGCCAGCCCTCAAAGACTCCAGTAGGAGGTCCATCAACAGCGACTGGAAGATCGAGCTCCCCGGAGAGTTCCAGATCGCCGGCACCACAGTCCGCTACGTCCGCAGGGGCCTGTGGGAGAAAATTTCTGCCAAGGGACCGACCAAAATTCCCCTGCACTTGATGGTAAGGCTCGGAGAGGACCCCCTCCCCCCCCCCCGTCTACTTCTTCCTGGGGGTGTGGGTGGCGGGCAGGTGCACTGGTTCCTGGTGGCTTACCTGGCCACCTGCAGCTCAAGGCTCTCTCTTGATCTTCTCTTTTCTTTTTAAATATGTTTTTATTGATTTCAGAGAGGAAGGAGACGAGAGAGAGAGAGAGAAACATCAATGAGGAGAGAGAATCAGGGATCAGCTGCCTCCTGCACGCCCCCTATTGGGGATCAAGCCCACAACACAGGCATGGGCCCTGACTGGGAATCAAACCGTGGCCTCCTGGTTCATAGGTCGACGCTCAGCCACAGAGCCACGCCGGCCGGCCTCCATCTTTTCTTATCTCATCTCTTTGGGCATGCTTCGGATTTCTCCCCTCTCAGAACGTCGTCCCGGCTCCTCGCTGGCAGAGCTCCCACCTCTTCTTAAACGGAACTGCCTCCAGGAAGGAGCCGCGCAGCCCTGGGGCCGCCAGGGAGACTTGGCCGCTCAGCAGCCGGCCGCGCGAAGTCTGTGTTTGCACATCAGACGGCACCGGCCCGCCCCTCCCCTCGGTGTGTGTGTCCACACTGGAAATTACCTTTTGGAAAGGAGCTGTTGACTCCGCTTCCTTCCAAACCAACAGTGCTCAGATTTTCCAAGCTCGCCTTGCAACAGGCATCCGGGAACTGGGGGTGCGGGAGGCCCTGGTTCTACGGGAATGTCGACTCCCCGGGTGGTCTCAGACACCTGTGGGGTCCTGTCTTACCTGTCGGGGAGGACGCCACCCAACCCAGGGGCCACCTGCTGATGCATCCTTTTTATTTTGGTTAATCCTCACCTGCGGATTTTTTTAGGGAGAGTGGAGGGGGTGGGGGGGGGAGAGAAACATCGATGTGAGAGAGACACTTTGATTGGTTCCTTCCCACACATGCCCCAACCAGGGCTGGGCATGGAGCCTGCAACTGAGATCCATGCCCTTGACCGGAACCAAACCCGAAACCCTTCAGTCTGTGCCTGACGTTCTGCCCACTGAGCCACACCAGCTAGGCTGATGCATCCTTTTTAAGAACATCAAAGCACTGCAGGGACAGCTCTGCCTGTGAGCCCTGAATGCAACAAAAATGTATAAAATAAAATAAAACAAAATAAACGCAGCCCTGGCCGATTTGGTCAGTGGTTAGAGTATCCACCTGCAGACCAAATGGTCGCGGGTTCGATGCCTGGTCAAGGGCACATACCCGAATTGCCGGTGTCCTAGCCCCGGTAGGGGCATGTGCAGGAGGCAACCAATCGATGTGTCTCTCTCGGTTGATGTTTCTCTCTCTCTCTCTATCTCTCCCTTCCACTCTCTCTAGAAATCAATGGGAAAAATATTCTCGGGTGAGGATTAAAAGTAATGATGATCATAATGAAATAAAAGCAGTTACGCAGAGGGCCTGCAAGAGGAAGCCAAGGACACCGTCATGTCACCCGGTCGCCCTTGCATTTGCTCCCTGTAGCAGGCGCCAAGGATGGGTTTATTTCTCGTCTCTTCTCAAAGCTTTCATGGCCCGAGTGCATCGCCAGCCCGTTCAGGCCGAGGCACAGCCGGGATCCATTCCGACCACGAGAAACAAAACTCGGGGAGAGAGAGAGAGAGAGAGAGAGGAGAGAGCCGCAGCCGCCGCAGCCCCGGGCCCAGCCCTCGTTAATGTGAATCGCTTCTCTCTCACGACCGATGACGGTTACTTCCAGTTTGCAAATCTGGAAACAAGAGGTGCCCCTCTGGCTGTCCATAGAAGCCACTGTCCCCCAAACCAGGACGCACTCATTGGGGAGCCGCAGGGACCTGCACACAAATTATACGTGGCTGCGAAATTGCACGAAATTGGTTTCAGATGGATCCCCCATTCACCAGTCTTATATTCCCAGACTGAGATAATAAAGATCTCTTTTAAAGAGGTTTTTCTTTTTTCTTTTCTTTTTTTTTTTTTTTTTTTTTACTTTCTTTTCCACCCTAGGCAGGTTTCCAAATGCGTTCCTGCAAGTCTGTTTCTTGGAGAAGTGGATGTTTATGCTGCTGAGGCGCCCCACCCCCACCCCCCACCCACTCAAGCCCTCGGGGGAGGGGGAGCCCCGGGAGGGAGGAGGAGGCTTCCGTCTCAGGCACTTGCCACCTGGCCTTCCCCCCCGTCGAGGCAGGTGGGCCCTGCACCGTCTGCCTGGAGCTCCCACTGGCCCCTCTCCTGGACCTCCCGGCCTGGAAGTGAACTTGCTGGTGCCTTAGACCCAGGGAGGACCCGCTGGTGTTAGGCCTGCCCTGAGGACACACCCCCCACAGCCAGGCCACTGGAAAGTCCTACAGGAGGCCTTGTTTCGCAACATTAATTTGAATATGGTTTTTTTGTTTGATTTTTAGAGAGAGAGGAAGGGAGAGGGAGAGGGAGAGCGAGAGAGAAACATCAATGAGGAGAGGGGATCATGGATCAACTGCCGCCTGCACGCCCCCTACTGGGGATCGAGCCACAACATGGACATGCATGCGCCCTGACAGGGAATGATACCCTGACCTCCTGGTTCTTGGGTCGACACTCAACCAGTGAGCCATCCCGGCTGGGCAGGTCGAACCTATTTTAAAAGCCCGTGCCCACCGGGAGGGAGACCCCACAGCAAGGCTCTCCTCGCACTGTCAGCAGCCCCGGGCTATTGCGCGGTTTCAAAGCGGCCTCTTCTTTTGCCTCCCGCCCAGGTGTTGTTATTTCATGACCAGAATTACGGAATTCACTACGAGTACACCATCCCCGTGAACGCCACGGCTGAAAATCAGAGCGAGCCCGAGAAACCCCACGATTCCTTGTTCATCTGGACCCACAGCGGCTGGGAGGGGTGCAGCGTGCAGTGTGGAGGAGGTGAGCCCCGGGGTCCCGGCCCACGGGTGCGGGGTTTTGTTAAAGGAAGGAGACGTGGATTCCGGGCACTCTGTGGTCAGGGCACAGAGAGGGACAGGCTGGGCACATAACCAGTGTTTGTTCATTTCAGAGAGGAAGGGAGAGAGAGAAACATCGATGAGAGAGAGAATCATGGATCTGCTGCCCCCTGCACGTCCCCTACTGGGGATCGAGCCTGTAACCCGGGCATGTGCCCTGACCCGTAATCAAACTGTGACCTCCTGGTTCATGGGTTGACGCTCAACCACTGAGCCACACCGGCCAGGCAGCGGTTGCCTTTTCTGGTCCTAGTCTGGAATTTTTCTCCTGCCCCGCACTGCCCTGCCCATGTCTTTCACACCCTCCTGGCTGAGCTGATAGTTCTCACAGTCAGTTAACGAATCTCTGATCAGAAGACACCCCTGCAGGCCCCTCCATATCGGGACCTAATGCCCCTCCCGAGGTGGCAGCCACAGCCTCTCAGCTCCCTGTGCGCTGGTTTCCAGGGGAACGCAGGACCATCGTGTCCTGCACGCGCATCGTGAACAAGACCACGACGCTGGTGAATGACAGCGACTGCCCCGCAGCGAGCCGCCCGGAGCCCCAGGTCCGAAGGTGCAACTCACACCCATGCCAGGCACGGTAAGGAGCTGGCGTCTCCGGCGCCGGCCCTCTGGGGCGGGGCAGCAGCGCCCGTGTGTGGGGCGGAGTGATACAGTCGGTACAGGCCACTGTATGCCGCCTTCCCTTGCTGCTGAGGCATCTGTGTGCTGGGAATACTGGACCTCTGGCTGCTAAGCCGGAACTGGGATGGAAATGTACAGTCCGTCAGGCGGGCGTGGCTCAGTGGTTGAGCATCGACCTAGGAACCAAGAGGTCACAGCTGGATTCCGTCGAGGGTACATGCCCAGGTTGTGGGCTCGATCCTCAGTAGGGGGCGTGCAGGAGGCGGCCGATCCATGATTCTCTCTCACCATTGATGTTTCTGTCTTTTTCTTTTCCCCTCTGAAATAAATCAAAATATATATTTTTTTAAAAAAAGGAAAGAAATGTACAATCCTAGCTGGAGACCACGAATAGCATCTCATGGAGAAAAAATAGCCCTCGCCATACACTCTCAGGGGGTGTCAGCTGCCTGTGTTAAAAAGAAGTCAGTGTACCCGGCCCGTAGGGCTCAGTGGTTGAGCACCGATAGGTGAACTGAAAGGTTGCTGGTTCGATTCCTGGTCAGGGCATGTGCCTGGGTTGCAGACTCGATCCCCAGTAGGGGGCGTGCAGGAGGCAGCCGATCCATGATTCTCTCTCATCATTGATGTTTCTCTCTCTCTTTCCCTCTCCCTTTTTCTCTAAAAATCAGTTAAAAGGGGGGGGGATGGTTGTCTTTATCCCGAATGTTTTCCTCGATTTCCCTGACCTCCCTTCCATTTTCTTCAGCCCTCTTTTCCCATGCAGGTCCCAGCAAACTGCCTTTCCCTCCCAGATTGCACGCCATTCGCACCTCCTTATTCTAATCCCTGTCCCCCCGCCCCCCGCTCCGTGGGTACCGCTCCCAAACCCCGCCCTAACCATCTGGAATCTGGAATCTGACACACACAGCAGATGGCCTCCCTCCAGCCTCCCGCACCAACACAAACACATCGGCGAACCTGGCCCCGACGCTGGCAGGCGAGGCAGGAATCGCAGATCCGCTCAGCTGCCATGGCTGCGGCCAGCGGCCTTCCCTGTGCTGACTGCTGTCCGCAGGACAGAGGCCCTGCCGCCATCTGGCAGCGAAGGGGCGAGCCTGTCCCTATGGCCCGGTCCCACGTCCTCCTGGAGCGAGGAGGGGGAATGACAGGGACCTGGGCGCCTGCTGGGGCGCAGCTCAGTGTCACCGAGCTCATGTCTCTTCAGCCCTTTAGAGCTGATTGGCCACTTGAGAAGTTACTGCCGAGCTATTAGCGATTCCCCCAGAGTCGTTACGGCTTGGACCCCTTCCAGGCGGCACATACTGTGCTGTGCGTTGAATTCGGGGGATTCAGAGAAGAACATGAAATATCGTCCTGGCAAGCACCCCGAATAGTCATCTGTGAGGAAGTGAGTTTGGAGTTGAAATGTGTCCTCTTTGCTCAGATATCTTAACCAGGTTTGCCTGGTTTGGGGTTAAGATTGAGTGAAATCCCTTCTGTTTTTATGGCAGCATATTCCCCATGCATGTGTGCATATATGCATGAGTGTGCATGCATGTGTGTGCATGTTCGTGTGTGTGCATGCGTGTTTTCATGACTTAAGAATGAAGCGTAGAACCTGTGGATCCTTAGGCACAGCCAAAATCTGAAGAGATGCCATGATCGCGTCCGTTTCTAGGTGGTCTGACCCGTGAAGCTCCTCTTTCCTGCTTCCCGCTGAAATAAAAGCGGTGCGTTTAATTGTTACTCTGGCTTTGGCTCCGCCCTGACCGCGCCCAGGAGCTCTCCTCTTCCCACGCTCTCAGCGTCAGCTCCTGCAGGAAGCTCTCCCTTCCTTCCCCTCTCACACTTGACTGTGGCCTTGATGACAATAGATCAGCGGCACTTAGCAAGTGTCGGTGGTATTTCTACTAATCGAGCTGGAAAACAATCCAATGGGCCCGGCCAGTGTGGCTCAGTGATTGAGCGTCAACCTGTGAACCAGGAAGTCACGGTTCGATTCCCGGTCAGGGCACATGCCCGGGTTGTGGGCTCCACCCCTAGTGTGGGGCATGCAGGAGGCAGCTGATCCATGATTCTCTCTCATCATTGATGTTTCTCTCTCTCTCTCTCCCTCTCCCTCTCCCTTCCTCTCTAAAATCAATAAAAATAGGTTTGTTTGTTTAAAAAACAAACAACAACATCAACAAAAACAGTCCCATGGCCCATCACCACGGAGTGACAGCGAGACCCAGGTGGCCTGTGTTCCTGTCCAGGGAGGCCTCTGGCGGGTCTGACTGCAGCTCTGCCCGTGGAGTTTGTCACCCTCCAGTCCTGACTGCTCTGGGCAGGGCCCCATGGTGGGGCGGCCACGGAATCAGCAGGCTCCAGGGAAACTCATGGCTGTGAAGTGGTCGGAGCCCCTCGAGAACTGGGGCACCCCCTCTGCTCTTCCTCCCTCCCAGTCCCCACACGCTCCTGGTGGTTTCTGTGGCTGCCAGCCTGACTCCCAGGTCCCCGTCATCACGTGGGTGTGAGTGGCGTCCTTACACAACAGCAGAGACCAGGAAGGACACTGTGAAACCGAGGGTTTTATATCTAGCAAAACTGTCCTTCAAGTATCGAGGCTTTAGAGAAATATTTTTAAACATGTAAGAGTTTTGCCCAGTTGGCGTGGCTTACCATGTGCATTATTAACCGGTACATGTGTAGTGGTTGAGCGTCGACCTATGAACCAGGAGGGCACGGTTCCATTCCCGCCTGGTTTTCCAGGTCGATCCCCACTAGGGGGCGTGCAGGAGGCAGCCAATCGATGTTTCTCTCTCTCTCTCCCTCTCCCTTCCTCTCTCTCAAAATCAATAAAATATATTTGAAGGGAAAGAAAGCCAGAAATAAAACGGATCTCTTTCCCTTCTACTTGGAGGACTCCTGGACATGATTTCTGTAGCTCATTAGCTATTAAAATTATTAACAAATTATTATTTCCAATTGCAAGTGGTTATGGGATTCATTATTTCTTCTCATGCCAAGACTTGTATGCAATTTACTCTGAACGTGAATTAGCCAAAGCCATCCAGAGTTTCTAAACAGGCTTGGACCAGGTTCACTGCCTTGAGCCCAAAAGCCACACAGGGCTGAGCCACCAAAGGCCCCCCCGCCCCCCGCCCGCGCTCCATAATTTATTGGGAACTTAATTGAGACTAATTATTGTCTCTGTTCCCAGAGGAGCATCTGCCCAGCATCTGCTGTGACACCATGTGCTCGGGATGCCTGGATCATCTGGGACGTGAACGGAAGGGCATGAGTATTTTACGGTGACGGATCCCGCTGTAACGTTTTATAGGAAACTCCCAGCGGTTTTATTCACCTGCGGCGTTAACGCGCAGGGTCTCTCCAATGTGCCGGAGCCGAGGTCTGCAGTGTCCTCAGAACACGCTGCCTCGGGGAGACCCACCCCCGAGGAGGAGGTGGGCGGCCTTGGCAAGATGCGGCTAAGCCCCGCTGGTGTGGCTCTGTGGACTGAGCATTGTCCCAGGGACCGAGAGGTCCTGGGTTCGATTCCCGGTCAGGGCACAAGCTCTGGTTGGGGGCTCCATCCCCAGTGGGGGGCATGCAGGAGGCAGCCGATCCATGATTCTCTCTCATCATTGATGTTCCTATCTCTCCCTTTATTTATTTAAAAATAAATAAAAACATTTTTTTAAAAAGAAAGAGGCAGCTAAGTTGACGGATTGGGGGTGCAGAACCCGGACTGTGCTCTGACGGGCCTGCTAAAGGCCCCGGTTGATCCAGAAGGGGATGCTTAGATGATAACAGGTTGGCCGTATATGACAGAGCGATGGCACCTAACGGTGAGAAACAAATGAGCAGGAGCCATTCACCCATTTCACAGACGGACGAATAGAACCGGGGGGGAGATTCGTGAGCAAGGCCATCAAAGACAGCCTGTGAGCCCCAATAAGACTCTTGCCTCCTAAGAGGTTCTCAGCCAGAGCGAGGTGAGGGCAGTCTTGGGGAAACAGTACCACCCAGGAGATCGGCCCGTCTTTGGCAGGAGGGTTTCAGGGGGCAAATGTGACCCGGCTGGTGTGGCTCAGCGGTTGAGCATCGACCTGTGAACCAGGAGGTCACGGTTTGATTCTCTGTCAGGGCACATGCCAGGGTTGTGGGCTCGATCCCCAGTGGGGGGCGTGCAGGAGGCAGCCGATCCATGATTCTCTCGCATCGTTGATGTTTCTATCTCTCTCTCTCTCCCTTCCTCTCTGAAATCAGTAAAAATATATTAAATAATAATAATAAAAAAAGGTAGTCATGGGTGGGAGCAGGCAGAACTGCAAACTGCCTACTCGTAAAGCCGCGTGCCAGAGCCTCGCAGGGCGGGCGAGCTCGGGGCGCAGGCAGCCAGCTCCCCGGCTGGTCCCTCTGGGAGCCCCGTGCCTGTGCCTCCGAGCACTCAGGCCTGTCCAGCCCGTCCCCTCCGCACACTTTCCCGAAGAGGCCGGGCTGGCTCGCTGGGCTCTGGGGAACTCCCCTGGGAACCTTTCGCAGGCAGAGCCCTGAGAAATCCTGAGCATTTTCCTAGCCAACGCGGGCCAGCCCGGGGCGGCGTGGCAGGGAGGTCTGCTGGTCTGCTGGCGCCGTTTCACCTGGAATCGCTGTGTGGGGCTGGGCAGCGGGGAGCGGGCGGGCGCCTGCTGGTGCTCGTTAAGCCCCTGTGTTCTCCACAGCAGCCGGCGTGGTTGCGGACTGAGGGGTGCCTTTGGGGCTGGTCCCACTCACGCTTCAGTCTTGGGGGAACCACGCCACGTTACTCACCTGGAGCAGCTTTTTCTTTCTAATGGTCTGAAGACAAGATGCTTGGGACTCATCTGTGAAGGCGACCAAAAGACGAGCTAGCATGTGTGTGCACACGTGTACATGTGTGTGGGTCTGTGTGCATGTGTGCATATGTGTGTGTGTGTGTGTGCGTGCAACAGGGGTGTGGGGACCAAAGCGAAGGAGGAAGCAATGCCTGAGGTGCCCATGTGACAAGCGCTGGTGCCCAGTAACGGCTTCTGTAGGCGAGAGCGAGAGGAAAATACACACATGGCACTTGGACGTCGGTTCGGGTCTGGCACAGCTGCCCCCTCTCCCCCCTGAATGTGAAAGCGTGAAGTCCCAGACTGGAGGCGTGGGGCTGAATTCCTCAGCAGACCCAGCTGGGCCCACAGATGTAAGTTTGGAGTTCATGTCCGAAATGTTAAAATCAGGAGGTTGCCCGGCCGGTGTGGCTCAGTGGATAGAGTGTTGGCCTGTGGACTGAAGGGTTTCCAGTTCGATTCTGGTCAAGGGCCCGTCCCTCAGTTGCAGGCTTAGGCTCGATGTGTGGGGGAGGCAGCCAATCGATGTGTCTCTCTCACATCGATGTGTCTCTCTCTCTCTCTCTGTCTCTCCCTCTCTCTTCCACTCTCTCTAAAAATCAATGGAAAAATATCCTCGGGTGAGAATTAACAAGGACAAAAGACAGAGTCCACGCAGAGCTCTCTGCTCTGCCTCCCTCCTGCGTCCCGCAGGCCCCAGGTTCCATGGTCCGGGGGCAGGGCCCTCAGGGAGGCTGGCCTCTCTGCCCGGTCTCCTCTCACCGTCTCTCCTCCTCCTGGCAGGTGGGTGGCCGGCCCGTGGAGCCCCTGCTCAGCGACCTGCGAGAAGGGCGTCCAGCAGCGGGAGGTGACCTGCGTGCACCAGCTGCAGAACGGCACCCACGTCACCACGCGGCCCCTCTACTGCCAGGGCGCCCGGCCCGCGCCCGTGCAGAGCTGCGAGGGCCAGGACTGCCTGTCCATCTGGGAAGCGTCTGAGTGGTCACAGGTGGGTTCCCCGGGCCGCCACCGGGGCCGCTGGCCCTTGTCCACTGGTCCCTTTTCCTGCATCGTGTTTGTGACACAGCTTCACGTGTCATGGTCCTCGCCAGCCCCCAAAGCAACTCAGAGCTGTCTGGGCGCTCACATGGTCTTCACGTCCATCTGAGATAACAGCGTGGCTAAAATACATGGGAACGTGTTACTGATCATGGATAGTTGTTTTCTGATAATATATACCTCACTACTTTTAGGTCCCATTTCCTGTGAAAATTCTCATGTAGATATAGATGGATGGACACATGAACAGAGAGAGAGACAGATAAATAGACAGATAAGTAAATAGATACATAGATAGATGCGTAGATAAATACGTAGATACATAGATGGATATCTATAATAATGAAAGCATAATATGCAAATCGTCCAAACTGCTGAACAGTGGAGCCACCATCCAGATGACGATCTGGACGACCACACTGTGACACCCACTGGCTCCAGGCCAGCCAACGTGGGTGCGATGCGATTGGCCGGGGGCCCAGCCATCGCCCCATGATCGCCCTGAAGAGGGAGGCCCAAACTACCCGGCCGGCGGCACTGCAGCGGGTACCCTGGGCCTCCCTCTGCAGGGGCGATTCATCGCGGAGCCCTGGCCGGGTGGGTGGGGCCTACCTCTTTTGGGGCGATCGATTGCAGGGGCTCTCAGACTGTGAGAGAGCACAGGCTGGGCTGAGGGACCCCCCCCCCCCCCCCCCCAGTGTACAAAATTTGTGCACCGGGCCTCTAGTATAAATAGATACATGGATACATAGATGATACATAAACACATAGATACGTAGGTATATAGATACATAAATACATAGATAATAGGTATATAGTTACATAAATAGATGCATAAATACATAAATACATAGGTATATACATAGATACATAAGTACATACATAGATAGATACATAGACATATAGATAGATACATAGGTAGATACAAAGATCCATCCACAGATAGATACATGGATGTGCAGGCCTGCCTTTAATACCCTTGGGGCATATTTGAACTTCGTGTCAGACTGGGAAGGAGGTTTCACAGGCTTCCCTTCAGCCCTGAGGCAGGCTGTGCGTCCCAGCGGCAGGCGGCTGCTGGGAGGGACCGCTTTCGCTGAGCTTGTCCAAGTCCTGCATCTCGTGCCATCAGCACCTTGGAAAGGGGTCAATGAAGCCCTCGGTGTTTAACTCTGAAGGCTGCTCGTGCACATGGCGTTTTCTCTTCGGTAACAGCATTCTTTGAGGCTTCACGATTTTGATTGTTTGGCTATAAAACAGCAAAATCGCTGGATAAAGGGCCAGCTTCCTCCGGGTCCCCCTTGAGATGTGTTCTAGGAAAGTCAGAGGGCTCCATCCAAGACACTGTTCAGTGTGGAAAATATTTTTAAAGTTTCTTTCTATTGCCAAACAGTTGGAATTATTTAGAATAAGAAAGCATTCAGCCCATTCTTAATGAATGAAAAGTCTGCCCAGGGCTGTTCTAAAACGAAGCTTCCTTTTCAGACAGATTTTGACGTGTACCCATTGAAGGACCTGCGTGTGGAACCTACCCTTTATGATATTTTAAGAAAAGAAGAGAATTTAAATTGTCTTAAAATATGTTTGTATTGATTTCAGAGCGAAGGGAGAGGGAGAAAGAGAGAGAGAGAGAGAGAAACATCCATGATGAGAGAGAATCATGGATCGGCTGCCTCCTGCACGCCCCCTACTGGGGATTCAGCCTTCAACCCAGGCATGTGCCCTGAATGGGAATCAAACCATGACCTCCTGGTTCATAGGTCGACACTCAACCACTGAGCCATGCCGACCAGCCCAAGAGTTTAAAAATTTTGCTTGATTTTTTTTATTAATATGGACTTAGGTTTGTAAGTTTAACATCCCGGGGACCTTTTTCAGGGGCGGGGGGCGGTACTTGTTGCAGGGGTAGGGCAGGTAAGTAGTCTCTCTCCCCTCCCCCACCTCCCAGGAGCCATAGGGCCTTAATCACCTGGGTCTTGATCCAAACAAGATTTATACTTTAATCAGATCAAAACCATACATTTTCCATTCAGATCCTTTCTTATATGGAAGAAATAGACATGCTCTTTCCCAAAATACCCCAGCCTGACATTATCAGCTGTCAGCATCGGATTCAAGAGCACCATCTCGGGAGGCGTGAGCCAGTGGAGACGAGATTTATAGAGGCATCTCCATCTCCGTCTCCATCCATCTATGTGCCCCATCACGCCCGAGCCGCCTCCGGAAACCCTATCCGCACCCACCCATCTCCCAGGGCTCAGCCCAGGCTTGAGCTGAGTGCGTCTTTCTTTCTTACTTCTTTTTAAAAGTATTTTTTATTGATTTCAGAGAGGAAGGGAGAGGGGGAGAGACAGAGAGAAACATCGGTGATGAGAGAGAATCATCGACCGGCTGCCTCCTGCACGCCCCACACTGGAGATCGAGCCCGCAACCCGGGCATGTGCCCTGCCCGGGAATTGAACCATGACCTCCTGGTTCATAGGTCAATGCTCAACCACTGAACCACACCGGCCGGGCCCCAACGTATTTCTACCACGTTGCCCCGTGCCGAAGCCCCTCTGACATTTCTTCCCCTGGAAACACTTGGGGTTAGATGGTTTATTGACAGGGTTGCCTGGTTCAGCCGGCCCTGCCGATCTTTTCACTAGCTGCTCTCCAACACTGTTAGAACGAGGCACAGATGTCGAGAAGGAAGGAAAGGGGACTGGCCGTCTCCTGTCCTCAGCTCCCAGGCCCCATCCCTGGATCCGAGGCCAAGAGAGAAACTGCACCTTGTCCCCAGATCCCTTCCTCCCGAGGCAGCCCGGCCTGCAAGGGCCCAGGCGCACAGCCAGCGGGCCGCCGCGCAGCCGGGCCACGGCAGGGGTTGGCCAAGAGACAGGCTGGACAGTCCGGGAAAGGGACGAGGAACGAGGAAGAGGGTCCAACAAAGCAGAGAGTCAGACAGAAGTGGGGAGGAGGCCCTTGGTTGGAGAAGGATCCAGAGGAAGGGATGCGGGTGCCACGGAGGAGCCAGGAGTCAAATGGTGAGAACGGAGTTGAAATGATGGGGGGACCATGGCCGTTCGGAAGAGCAGGGGACCACCCCTCAGCACAGTCACCCAGGGCTCCCTGTGGGCAGAGCCCGCCTTAGCCTGACCCTGGCGTCCCCTGAATCCAGCCGCTCACCCCACAGGCAGGGTCACAAACACATATGCTCCCCCAGTGATGCCACGGCCCATGGATTTCTGCTAAAACAAGCTGGTCTACCTCAGTCTCCAAAAGCAAAAGAAAAACAACCTCCTGGGACCTTCAGACAGAGAGCCAAACTGCATGCCTCAGAAAAATAAGGCTAGACAGCATTTGGGGGTAAATGTTAAGGACAGAAATGCAAAGAATAGCATGTGTCCTTTTTGTGCATTCTTGCAGAAGTCAGCTTTGTTGCAGCTGAAGAGCATCACTG